AACAATATTAAACATTTTCAAATGATTTAATAGCTTCTAGTATCAACATGTACATATTTGAACTAAATACACTAACAGATAGAGCACAATTTTAGGAACTTAACAAAATTTGTTTCACAATTTTGGACACCTACATGATTTTATATGATCTACCAAAGATCAGCTAAAAAATTATATTAGAAAACTATTTCTAATTCCTTATGAAAAAGAAAAACAAATTCTCCCGTGCGGCCCATGCGACGCCGGCCCATGCGGAGACGGCCCACGGCGGGGAAACCCCGCGCGCGCTGACATTTTTGCAAAATAGACCTCGCACTTCTCCCGAATTACAACAAATACTAACACTATTTCTTCCTCTCTCATAACTTCTCACTTAACCCCTTGGCCTTTCCCTAATTCACCCATGCACACCCCCGGCGACTCAGAGCACGACGGTGCGGCGAGCGGCGGCACTGAGCGCCTACGTCGGCCACCTAGGACATGCGCGGGCCCACCTAACAGGTCGATCACCATCTCTGACCCGAGCGGCTACGCTAAGCGATGGTGTAGGGTGACATGACTGGCTGGGGAAGGCTGCAGCGGCGCGCGACCATCCACGATGGCGGCGCCACTGTTCCGATGAGCTAGGGCAGCTACAGACCTAATTGGTTAGCACGTGAGCATCAGGAGGCTACCATGGACCAGTGAGGTAACAGTTGGGGTGGAAGATGACGGAGGAAGGCTGGCCACGCGCGACCGAGCCGTGCGGCGGCGCACCACGGCGGCACGGTCGTGTTAGTGATGAAGGAGAGGCGGTAGCATTTCAACTAAGGCGTGCAAGGTGGAGAGGGAGTCAAGGCGATGCTACTGGTGTAGGTGAATTGGCTCGGGAGGGACGATGGGAGAGCTGCCCACACCCACGGCCGAACGTGGCCTTATCGGCACGACGGCGGGGAAACTCCAAAATTGGAGCTCAACCGTGCTCGCTTCAAAGTTGGGTGGGGTCGAGCAGTGAGATGACATGATGGTGAAACCGTGGATGCGACGAATGGAATGGAGGTGATCGTTTGCAGGGCAATTGATGGCGCATCTTGGTGGCGGCAGCGGAGGAAGAAAGAGAGAGACAGGGCGCGGTGGTGGGCTCGGCTCGTCCTCGCCTTGGCGGTACGCGGTCGGCGAGCACATGGAGACCCATGCGTAGGCGCTAGTAGACAGGCACGGGCGTTTCCGACCGGCGTGGCCTGCGTGGCCGTAGTGTCTTAAATGACAAGACGACGGCGGCTCAGCCACGTGCGCGCCGTAGTGGCGGCCTTGAACTAGGCCGGCAGCGGCGCATAGAGTACAGCGGACAAGCGCGGACAGGATGACGATACGATGGCAGCAGCAGCGTCACGGCGCGAGGCGGGTCGGCAGTGCAACGAGACGATAGCAGTGGCGGACAGCGCGAGGCTGGGCAGCAGGGCACAGGGCTAGAGGCTCACTGCGGCCAACCTCAGCCAAGCCCAGGCAGCCCGCCCGACCCAGCGTGGTGGCACGGGATGACCGAGGGGGACGCGGCCATGTGCGCGGCACGGGGTGGCACGCACACGGCGCCAACCATCCCCAGACTGTCATGCACGAATTTTAAAGCGCCCAAAACTATTAAACGGTTGCTTCAGGAGCCAAACCATCTTCACCATGCTCAAGATGACATATGAGACTACCAAATCGAGCTATTACACTACATCACCCCTTAACCCAATTTCTCAAAATAATTTGCTAAACATAGCAATGTCTAGCTGTTGACAGACTTGAAAATTTTCTAAGTTTTGAGCTGAACTTGATTTTAATTTAGAATTTCTAGGCTAGTAGAAATATTAACTAGTAATATCATTTTTCAACAGGAAATATTTCACTGTTATCTACAAAGTTTGTATTTCAAACTTTATTTACGCATCACATATATGTTCTATAGCATTTTTGCTTAATAAAAATTGGTTTTCAACCCTACTTGATATACATGAGCTGTTGAATCAACTTTCATGATTATTTTAAGTTACAAGAAATTTATCTACACATTCTATCACATGCATTAACACATAAACATGATGCTCATGACATGTTTTAGTAATTGATTTAGGGTGTAACCTTCGACCCTATGCTGGTCGAAGTGGATGCCTGTCTACGCCCTGGGTCGCTGTCTGTGGGTGCGGCAGCCCCAGCCTCGTTTGGAGTGTTGGGGCTCGTGAGAGCCCAGTACTTCCGGGTCTGGATGAACCTAGGGTGGACTCTGAGGACTGTGGCGTGTTGGTGGTTGACAACGCCGCCACCTCCACGTCTCGACTCGGGCAAGAGGATGCGCTACAGCCCGTGGTCGAGGATCTGGAGGAATTGCGTTGCGACGAGGATGCTGTCCAGCGATCAACTTCTACGCCCTCCACAGTCGTGACCGTGAGCGATGTGGCCCAAGTAGCGACCCCTGGCGCTCAACTGACAGCGGTGGCTGTCGGATCATCTACAGTGCCCACGGCCTCCTTGCAGAGCTTCATCGCATCCCTAAAGCTGCCATTGGAGGAATTGCTGATCGCATCCCCCCCCTCCGGCGTGTATCGCGTCTTGATGACTCCGTGTTCATCCCAAGGCGTAGTGACAGGTTAACTGCCAAGTCCATCCACCGCGACCCCAACCCGGAGAAGCAGGTGAAGCGCGTCCTTGTCAACAAGTGGACATGCAGGCCAGCCAACGGGTCGCTGACGCGGGATGTGGCCATTGCGGAGAAGTTCCATGAAACATTTGCCGGGCCGCTTTCTGCCTCTAAGCAGGCCACCATGCGTGAGTTGTTCCCGATGGCTAAAGTGTGCATGGGCGGAGTGCTGCCCGTGTCAGATTGAGCATGCGTAGTGGGCAACGCCGATCCCGCTCTTTGGTCGCATAATTAGTTTATTAGTTAATCAAACCAGTGTGCGTTCCACCGCATTGTTATGTCTTTTGTTTGTATTCAATCCTATCACTAATGGCATCTCGCTGTGATGTGATGTAGGGCGTGTAAGCTTCTAAACTTCTTAATGAAATACATGCTAAGCACGTTCTAGAAAAAAACTATGTATCTAAATCTTGGCCTCATCCTGTATATACTATATATTTTTTATACAGATGAAAAATGAAACAAAAAAAATAGATTGGTGATCGGTGAAGATACACATACACATACACAGCAGGAGGAACAGAACCGAAGATGCAGTGGAAAGGTTTGGGATGATAGGACGGCCGGCGGGTGGAAAAGCGTCAATGATGGGTGCTTGCGTGTGCGCGCGTGGCGCACAAGCCCCGCCGAGAACGCCACTTCTCCGCTGCTTTCCATGCCGAGATGGGCCACACGCTGCACAACAGTCCAGTCCTTGTAGTGGGCCCACGTCCCTACTGGGCTTCGTTCCATATGAGCATCCGTGGGCCCATGGACCCACCACTTCCGTTTACTTCGGTTTGTATAGGTGAGGTCCGACTCGTGTTGAGAGTTGAGCAGAATTTCTCTCCAGTTTATTAGACTTTAGATAAAGATTATGAACATACGTTTTGCGAAAAAAAAGAAAAGAGATGAATTTAGTACATGCATAGGATAGATTTTCTAGGAAAAAAGGACTAACTTATTAGTACACGCAGAGTACGGGTTTTTTCTAGGACAGCAAACACACTTTCTGAATCTCGCAATACAACACCCTGAAAACGCTGCCTCTATTTTCGCTTTTGCAAGCATATGCCACCTTTGAAGCCTGTAATAGCATCCATTCATGTAATGCACGATCGTTTATTCCCCTATAAAAACAGTACCACGTCGAACCAAATTGCTGTTTGAAAGACAGCAAAAAGGAAGAGAAAAAAGGCCCTAAAATCATCCTGCCTTCTGGACTCCCGGTCCTTCAAATCGGGATATCGGCACGAAACACAGGAGGGTGCAGAGCCTTTCGCGACACTGGTCCCTGTCAGCTGTACTGTACTGTACCACTGTGAGCTCGCCGCTCATCAGTGCTCTCCAGATTTATATTTATATATTTATATAATATATAGAAAAAAGAAGGAATTCGTTGCACAGTCAGATCCTATGATTCTTCTGAAAAGACTGGGAAACAAGACAGCTTATTTTGTCACACGTCTATTTTTCGAAAAAATGGTCACGCAATGTTTGTAGAATGCACAAAATAGAATCTGTCCATTTTGTTGTTCTTGTTAGCTGAACTCGAAGAACAGAACACGACGTATCTGAAGCCATCCTCTCCATCACTCCATGGTGCTGATTTCCGGTGGCCACCGCGAGGTCAATCATCCATGGCCGCCGCCGGCACGGCGGCACCCCATCTGGTTGGTGCTGCTTGCCGGCCTGGTGGCGCCCATGGCTCACATGCTCCCAGGTTTGTCTCTTTGGGACAAGGACATGCATCTGCATGCATAAGGCCTGATTGGCACACACCTGCCCCCGCGTTGTTCCCGTCGCCTGAGCTGTTTGCGTTGCCACAGCACGTTGCTGCCACTGTTCAGGGGACACTGGACACATCATCTCCTCTCTGGCCTTGCCACCGGGCAACCTCACCTCATGGGCATGAATGAGCATCAACTGATGCATCATCCTCCAACAGGGTTGCAGTGTGAGGTTCCATGAATCTGGGCACTACTCTTTGACAATGCCACATAACATGGAGATCAGGATATGGCACCCGGACCTCTGACCATTGTACAAATGAGAATGTCAACACTCAACAAGATCAGTGGCATCAAGCACTTCAGAACAGGTTCATGAACTTAATTACTCAAGGAAGGGGGAGAGATGATTTACAGTTATTTTTTCTAGCTGAAATTCATAATGAACTTATTACAGCTAATCACAGGCAGGACTTAACATAACATGCACCATAAATTAGCACTAGGTACATACATCGGTCCAGAACTCATTGTCAAGCTAAGGCATATATCTACAGTACAGCACATGAGCATAGGTTTATTAAGTATACGCCGACGAAAATTTCTCACGCTATCTCATCTCTAGCTAGCTAGACAAGGCTCTTCATCTTACGCCTCAGCCACATTGGCCTAATATCTACACTCAGCGAGAGGAAAATCTCCCGGTTGCTCGTGTCCAAGAAGACGTCAGGCGCCAGCGACTTCTCGACCGGCGACAGCTCCGCCATGGTGCTCATCACCTCGATACACCGCGGGATGCTGAACCTGTCCCCATGGATCTCTGGCTTCTTGCTCTCTCTCGGGGCGACGGCATGCGCTTCCATAGCATCAGAGGTTCCGTCCTCGCTGGGCCTCCTGGAGAAGCGCCATATTTCTCCGCGCGGTTCCTCGACTGGCCTCCTGGAGGGCTGCCAGGAGGATGGCTCGGGACGCACCTGAGCCAGTGGTTTAGGGTACAGGTGCCCGTTCATGGTCTGGACTTCGACGCCGACTAGAGTCTCCTGTTGGAATGAAGACTCCCTGGACACTGGAGACGGAGGGATTGGGGAGAGTTGTCGGTTCATGTAGAAGTCATCTTCGTCGTCGCTTGAGTCAACTTCAGTCCCATTTCTTTCGTGCAGTATAGGTGCAGCAACACTGCTTTTACCATCCAAAATAACGCCAACTGCAGAATAAGAATGAGAAATATCTTAGTTTCAGGAACAGGTTCAAGTTGCACATTGAAATCATATCTTATCCCATTAGTTAACAAATACCAAGCAAGCCATCATCTGTTAAAAAAAACATACATGTTACTCTTTATCCGAACAAAAATAGGTGGTACAAGCTATTCAGGAAGACAGCATAACATATCAGGTTAACTTCAAGATATCCAAAACTACCAGCCAGAACAAAACAAGCTATTCAGGAGGCTACGAAAACACTTAAAATGAGGGCTTCTTTCTATGGCCCTGAAAAGTTTACCCTCCCTTATTTCATCCCCCAAAATGACACTCCTATCCAATTGTTCATTTTTCTTCTTAATGGTGTTAAGTGTAGTTTAAAAGGACAATTTTGCTCCGAGGTGGCCCTGTTCGCTTGTCTTATAATCCGTACTTTTCAGCTTGTTTTTTCAGCCAGAACAGTGTTTTTCTCTCACAACAAATCAGCCGGAACAGTGTTTCGGCTTGTTTTTTCAGCGAGGCGAACGGGGCTGTTCTCAAATAAAGATCACACCAAGATTATGTTGCAAGATAGCAACTATAAATATGAGATATATTTAACATGAATTGATATTTTATAGTGGAAACTCAAATGTATGTTTTCCATTTCAAAACGTTCGACAGCAGCACAGAAAGAGTACATTGCATAGGTGCATATTGCCAGATTTCAGAACTTTTGAGCTTAAATAAACATATCTAGTCAAAGTGGTGCCTCCACACTACTGGCACCATGGGCTGTTGCTCTGTTGTTGCAGAGCACACATCACCACTCAATATCAGTCATGACACCTCACCACCGCGAGTTATGAGCTGTTACCACAGCCATCTGTCGCTGTCGTGAGTTCACAGCATGGGACGCCATTGGCCTGCAGTTGTCGCATTCTGCGCCTTGCTATTGTCTGCATCCACAGTGCCGCCTGCTGCAGACACCACGACAACACCACCAACCTGGGCCACCTGGCGCCGCCAGCGCCATTGCGCATAGAGCATCACCTCCGCTGCTAGATCCTGCACCCCCCACGTAAAGCATCAAAACCCGTGTCTTCCCACGACGACAAGGGCACCTGTGCAGCTCTCCTGGACCTTGACTCTCCCGCAGAGAACACCCATGCCACTCCTCGGCCATGCCCTTCTCAATTGGTCCCATGACCACACAGTTCTAGCCAGAACAACATCAGCAGCATCGCCATCGACCGAGCTGTCCCACAACATAGTCGAGCGAAGCCTGCCCACGCGTCCATGAACGAGCCTGCCCCCGCACCCTCCTTAGCTATATCTGCGCCGTCGCAGGCGCTTTAGGGTTTGGGAGGACAGGGATAGGGAGCAGTGAATGGATGAGCGGCTGCCCCCTCAGTCAGATGTGGATGGCAGTGTCATTTTAGGGATGAAAGTTGAACCTAGTGTCAAGTAAGGGAGAATGAACTTTTAAGGGCCATAGAAAGAAGCCCTCATTTTACCAGTGTCAAATAAGGAAATTTCTTGACTACACTTTGCATACCATACTAGCATTACAGTCTCCAATTCTATATTAAGACAGCACTCCAACCAGTGAGCACTGGCATGAAGTCAACTAGGCACTTCTCTGCAAAATTTACCAAAGTATATGTAGTTCCTCAAAAAGCATTCTCAAGAATAGCCTGCTTATCACTTCTCATCAACTTGAGATTGCATGCCTTCCTATCCTGTTCTAATGACCCCTAGTGGTCTTGGACCAATCTCGCAGCTAAGACTAGCCAGCTCCAAGCTGTGCAAATAGGGCCATAGTAAGCTCGATGGGGTTGGCAGTCACCTTTGTTAGAATGGCTCTATAGTCAAGTTTTGCCTAGAGGAAGGTACGGTGGTTGGCTATTATAACAAGTTGTAGAGATGGTTCTAGGATATGAATTCTAGTTGTACAGGTTTATTAAAAGATCAGTTACCTTCCAACAGAACAACCCCTGTCCCTACAGATAGGAAAAGGGGTAGTGCAGGCCTGCTGGGAGTTTCAGAATAGCCTTTGACCATCTGCCTAAATCCTCTAATACAATTATACAGCAGGCAACTCCTGAAAAAGCTGCTCTAGCTAGGAAGCTAACAAGGTAGTTCATAACCTATACGAAAAATGATAGCTTCAAGAGCAAGATAATGAACCTAATCATGCGCGCTCTCTCCCCCTCCCTCCCTCCCTCCTCTAACCCCTATGGGCCCTGGTAAGATTGGGCAGTAACATTGGGTGACAGGTTCTATTGGTGCAGAGTTCCTGGCAACACTATCTAGCTGTTCCTAAGAATGCTAGAACATAAAATTGTTCAAAACAGTATCAAGCAATGAAAAAAATCACAAGCCATGCGAATAACCTATCTAGTTGGCAGTTAAGGAAGAAACTTGTGCAATACTAAGGTACCAAACAGAATTAAACTAGAAGATATCTGATGCAAAACTCCCACTTTAAAATCATTCACTACACTCCATTCCAGCTCCTTAAATGCATTACCTTTTCTCCCAAATGGGTTTCTACAATCATCGCATTTACAGTTGATGGAGCATCCTGCCCCTCCCTTCAAATTAAAAAAAAAAAACATGTTTCCTTAATCACAAACTGTCATAATGAAAATGAAAATTAACAGGACAAGGCTGAATATGGAACCTGGTAGCAGTCACAGTACTTCTTAAGGCAGCCTGACTTCTTGCAGGTGCATTTTCTTCTAATAAGATCCATAGGGGACCTTATGACTTGTTCCTGAAGCCAATAAATAGCAGGATCACCAAAAACAAAATGAAAGAAAGAGTATAAAAAGATATAGATAAGGTGATGTAAGAAGAAATTCATACCACTATGTCTTGACCAGCTTCTGATGTTTGGACAGGTTTCAGAGGTAAAACCGGTGCAGTCCGTGGAGCAACTTGCAGTGGTTGCTTGTTTTCACAAGGTCCGCATCCACATGACTCAGTACAACGTGACCCAGAAGCAAAGCACACACAATAACTGTTACAGAATAACACAGATAATGATTATACACAAAAGAGAACTTAAATTAGCAAGAAAAAACAACAAGCAAGGCACACAAACACATGGTCAGGTGTGGAGGTTACATGCCAGTGCATAGGCAATGGCATGCACTAAGCGTCCACAGGACTACAGGTGTGTGCATAAACCAGCCCGATTTACTTAGCACAGTGTTTTCAACACAGCAGACTAATCGCGGTTACTCCATGATTCATAAACATATTGGTAACTGGATGTGATCAGGTATATTGACTTTGGTTAGCATAGACAACCAGTAGGCCAATATTAGTCACAATTAGTTTGGCAAGTCTGGGCGACTGACTTGCAGCCAGTAGCATGAGCTTGGCAATTCTGGCCCTATATGAGCCCATTAGAAATCAACGTATGCATGTATAGACATACATATAACATTTGCAGCTCTGTTTTTTACCTAACTCCAATCTATTTGTTCTCTGCAGTCTCTATTCCATGCTCTGCAAGATGTTAATGCCGTCAACATATGAGTTAATAGGGTTTACACAATCAGGTACAGCCAACAAACTAGGTAGTAGGCAGCATGAGCCAACAGGACAACTTGGTCGACTAGCCAACGGACTAATCATGCATGTGTAGTTGACTAGTTGGTAGTGGTGCAGTGCCCAGGCAAGTCCACCTGACTTTATAACTACTTGAAAACATTGGCTCAGCATTCACCTTTATTGCAATAATGACATGTATGTTAAACCCTCATCGGCAAACTCAGCTCTGTCCACAGGATGAGTGGTACACAGCATTACATCCAAACACACCAGAAAATGCAGCATGCTCTTCTTCCACCGTGCAACCTCACAGTAGGATATAATAAAACGAGAAGCATTGCTACACTTAGAACTAACAATGGAACCAGCTTCTTCTCATTAATCTATATCAAATTATGAACTGGACTACTGGAGTTAGTGGAGAGCTCAACATACTAAATAAAACCGCAGCATTATGCTACTAGGCAGTGTGAGATTGACGAAACAAAAATTAGCACCGTGCATTTGAAACATATAAGACTAATCAGATCTAAACCTGCCTAAAACAATACTGAATTCGTCAGCGACAGCAAACCAGATCAGCAGCGCATCAAAAATGGTAAAGACATCCTTTCTCTAGCCACACCTCATCACTTCATCAGTCATCCCACGGTGAAACATATACTGCTGGGGCGAACGAAACAATGGAGAAGGCTGCAAGCCCGGGGTGGGGGTGAAAGAGGGGAACTTACAGCTTCATGCACCTGGACTTCTTGCAGCTGCAGGTCTTGCACCCGTCCCCGTCCTCCGCCTTCCTCCTGATTCACCCAGCAAAGAGAAAAAAAACAGAGAAGCGGAGTGAGAGAAAAAAATGTAAGCAGGAGCGAATCGCACGCAACGAACCAAAAGAGGAAACCGGAAACTTTGCCGAAAAGGGGAAGAGGGAGGAGGCGCACGGACCTCCTCTTCCTGTCGGAGTTGCCGTTGGCCTCCGCCGGCGCCGGCGCTGCAGCCGGCGGCGAGACGGCCGCGGAGGCGGTGGGCGCGGCAGCCTCGGCGGCGGGGGTCGGGGCCAGGACCGGGGCGGGAGGTGGCGGGGGCGGAGGAGGCGGAGGCGGAGGCGGAGGCGGAGCAGGAGCAGGAGGAGGCGGGGAGAGGCGCGCGTCGTCCGGCTCCGATCCGGCGGGCTCCGGCATCGGGAGATTCGGCTCCACCACCTCCGCTTCCATCGGATCGGTCGCCGCCGCCGCAGCAGCTGGCGGCGCCCCAATCGGCGGCTCGGGCGGCGTGGGGCTCGCCGTGGCGACGAAGCGAAGGCGAGCAAGCGCGTGAGGGGTGAGAGGTGCGGAGTCGGATTGTCGGAGGGGAGGGGAGGACACGAGGGAAGGAAAGCCAACTGGTGGAATGGAATGGGGGTTAGGGGTGCTTTGAGATTCGCGCTCGCTGCTGGGACGGCTCTGATCCGCTGTTGCCTCCTCGGATCCGGTTGGGCTCCGTTTCGACCTGGGCTTGGCTTTCTCTGGTCACAAAACGTGATTAGCACACACGCAGCATAAAGCCGCAGCCTTTTTCTTTTCTTTTGGCAGGGTGTGATTGGTAGTGGAGTGATTAAATACTCCCTCTATCGTAAATTATAAATCATTTTTTTTACTTTTCTAGACATATAATTTTTACCATATATCTAGATATATATTATATCTGGATTCATAACTTCTGCTAGGTAATGAGAAAAACTAAAATAATTTACAATTTAGAACGGATGGAGCAGTAAATTACTAGCAGCAGAAATTCCAAATCATGTGCTCCAGATAGATTAATAATAGCACCTCAAATAATGATTGGGTTTGTGGTGAGCAAATATAAATTCCCACGAATCCAAATATTAAATGAATATGAGCATGGATAGCCAAAATGGATGTTCCAAATCCTATGCTCCAGAGAAATGAGTAGTAGCTCGAATAATAATTGGATTTTTTTTTTTGGTGTGTAGATATAAATTCCCACGAATCCAAGAATGAAATGGATACGAGTATGGATGGCCAAAATGGATACCGGCATACTTATTGCTCTGGATACAGTGTTTTGGGTAATTTACTTGGGGTTTTGCAGCTATGTTGTCTGGTGCACTTGCCGGCACGCTATCTCTTCTACTGCTTCATGCTACATCTGCATCATCTTTTGTCTTTTGTGAAAAAATATCACTCTCGTCGAAGTTAAAAGATACGATAATTAATAATTAGAGTGATGTATAAGAGGTGGGAAAAGATTGACTTGAGTCAGAAGCCATCAAGTTGTATCTATTCGGCTGGTATTAAAGCCGGTTGAAGCTGTTTTTGTTGTGAGAGAAAAATATTATACATTCTAGCTGAGAAGTCGGCTGATAAATTCAAACGAACTGACCCGTTAACGTTATCTTTGAGAAGTGTTCTTTAAAAAAGTTTTGACATAAGTGGGATCAGGGAAAGCATTAGGCTCGAAATCTTGACATGGCTGGGTCAGAGTAGGCATAGAATTCATGGTGTACTCCGCATTACGGGATCTACATCTACCATTTCCTCGTGACCAAGGCTGGCAATTTGACACGTCTGAATAGTGACGCACTTTCATTTCATCGTGTACTATGCATTACGGGATGTACCATTTCCTTGTGTTGTGACCGAGGCTGGCAATTTGACATGTTTATTATCGTGCATATTGTAGCCAAAAACGAACAAAAAAACACAGAAAAGAAGATAAAAAGAACACATTGTTCATCCTGGCCTTGTGATCTTGCATGCAAGTTTCCGTCAAGGGGCATGTCGTTATCGATGAGTGACGTTGGCCATGGAAACTATCGCGTTCGGTCATGCCGTCCTACGGACAGCGCCAATTCTCTAGCTGCAATTGGGACGTCAGTATGGTCCATTCATTGGTGGCTGCCAACAAGTTGCCAAGGAACTGGGTCGAGGCTTTGATTTGATTCTTTGGTCATTTTATTAGGAGCATGGTTATATATGGAAGGAACGGAACAGACAAGTGTTTCAGCCTTCCGTCTGACCTGACAAGGCCGAGGCTCGACCGAGACGAAGGGAGGTGCTGGGTGCAAGCCGCCAATAGGAAGGTTGGTGGATGTACATTGTAATTTTTTTTGGATCTCTACCATTCAAAACCTGTTCTGGATGTGCAGCTGGTTGCTTCTTGTAAACTCCTTTTTCTCTCTTATTAATGAAACGCATGCTCAGGCACGTTCCTGGAAGGAAAAAAAAAACGTCTCAAGAGTTTGATCTTAGGCCTTAGATAAATAAAACGTGCATTTTAACCTCACATAAATAAAGTCTTAACAGTTCTTGTCATCAGGTACATACAAGTTCCACGTTTTGATCCCAGATAATGAACATAAATATTCTAAAAAAAAGATAATGAACATAAATTATACAGACATACAGCTTTGATCCCAGATAATGAACATAAATATTCTAAAAAAAAGATAATGAACATAAATTATACAGACATACAGCCACAGGTAACACGACGACGACGTCCTTGAGCCAAGGCATAATTTATCAACAAACCAAATGCCACTGGTGATTCTGGGAGGTAGAATTTTGTCATCACACAGTGGATTATTATAGCAGTACATAAATAATCGTTGATCAAGAGAAGTAGAAATGATGAAAGGAAGCTCGCTTGGTTGTCCATCACTGTCTGATGGTATGATAGAAACAATCTGGTGCAGTCAGCGGGTGGGGGATCTCGTGAACCAACAGGAAGGGCCTGTACAGGAAGAGACACATTAGATGAGTTGAGACAGGGAAGAGGATTAACATCTCAACAAGAAGAAACGGTAATAACAGAAAAATAGGGGCAAAGAAGTTCACCAGGAGGGACAAAAAGATGATAAATTCAAGGCGCTGGCAACTTGGCCTTGGGATCCTCGTTGTTTACGTCACCACCAAGGGAAGGGAAAGATGGGATGGACTTGAGAATCAGCTTCCTGCCACTCGTACAGATTGGAGATAGTCCAGTACCCATTCGTGGGGGAGAGATTCGCTTCTTATTTGGTGACACGACTTTAACAGAAGTTTGAGGAGATGAATTTCCCTTCAGGATATCTAATGTGCTATCACCAAGGGCCATTTCCACGTAGTTTTTGAATGGGGAGAGCACAATGTCGGTCTTTGGAGGAGCTTGTAAGTTGCACAGCCGAGAAGGATGTCCAGTGAGTTTTGTTGAAGATCGTGGTTTTTTGGTGCTTTTCTTGGAGCTTGGGGGTGGGAGACAAGCCAAGGGTCTGGGAAGAGCAAAATGCATTAGAATTCAGTATATTACATAAGAGGCAGGATTCATAGTAACAGATGTGTATTGTGCAAACATATGACATACAAACCTGCACTCCACCATGGAAGGTGTGGTCAGTACATTCTCAGCAGGAGCAGCTTCAGTAGTTTGGTAGATGACAAGCTGTTTATCGATTTCACTTTTTTCTTCTTTCACACAAACATTCTTTTCTTCCAATCCCTGCTTAGGTTCCTCTATGCCTAACACAGCAGCCCCTTGAATCAGGTTTAAAATAAAAATACTTTAGAGAAATAGTAGCTTTTTATGGATAGCAGAATATAGGATATGGTTAGTTGGTTACTGAGACAAATTGAAATAGCTAAGGTAGAGTATATTACTTCATATAGTAACCAAGATCTAGTATTGTATAGGGCACCCTTTCAGAATGGTATAGCTAAATGTAAGCAGCTTGCTTTAAATAAACCAAACATCATACAGCACAAGCTAATCTTAGTTCTTAGGAAAGTTTTACCATGAAGCAGAACTAAATTATTTTCTTGAAGAGACAAAGACCCCAACTCCAAACTGAAGCAGCATAACCAGACTACTGATGCCAATGGTCACCGTGTGATTTAGGAGACAAACAAATTAAAGAGTACTCCAAATTAAATCAGGTAGCAAGAGATATAACTCCAATATGTGCAAAGGTCTTTTTTTTTTTTTTTGCTTTTCTTAATCGGTAAGTCGGTAACCAATTAACAGAGAGGATATATGGTATTACATTTTCAAGTTGAAAGGTCAAACATGCAATGAGTCCAGGTTTCATGTGAAGCTATAACTAGTAGCACGATTGATTAGAACCATCTCTTAGCTGCTTTTGTAACTTGTATATCGAATAAGACTGCATGGATGCAACTATGATCTTAGAGCATGCATGTTGCTGTTGCAGTTGTTTAAAACAGAAGTTTATGAAAATGGATTTGACTCACCCTCCCGTTTTCCAAAAGCATTCTTACAGCCCTCGCATCTGCAACTTATGGAACATCCCACGCCACCCTTGATGAAGAGTAAAGATAAGATGCATACAAAGGGATTAGGAAGAAGAAAAAAGAGCACTAAATCAATGTAGGAGTTGAAACCTGAAAACATTCACAGTATTTTTTTAGACACGACGACTTCTTGCAATTGCATCCTCTTTTGTGACGAGCTGAAGCAGGAGTTTTATTGGAGAAGTCCTACAATATTGAAGATAATGATATTAGCAACAGACAAGACTAAAGGAAGTGCTCAAGTACAATAAGTTAGTGTCTCTTACCCCTAATTCCAGACCAGGCTCAGATGTATGAATTACTTTTGGAGCAAATGCTAATGGATTGCGAGATTCAATCTGTTGCCGTGTAGATAGAACTGTTTCCGTATGACTCTGGTTGTTCAGACAGCCGATACACGAACAAGGCTCAGAACAATAGACTCCAGCGGCAAAACACTCACAGTAACTGCATGAAATTAAGCAAAAAATTATCATGTAACAGAAACCAGACAATCTATCAGTGTAAAGACAGTTTGCCAGGAATAGAACACAGATCCCTTCTCCCTTCAAAAGAGTCAGAGGATTGAAACTAATTCAGGAAAGGGTAAACATTCATTATAGAAGGGTCAGACACTCAGACCAGACAAAATATCAGTTTGAAGACGGAATTTGGAAGGAATAGCATGGAAAGAACATGGGTAACTCTTGAAAAGGATCAATGTTTTGAACCTAGTTCAGAAAAGGGTGAATGTCCATTAGAGAGGTCAGACGGATGGCAATGACTTCAAGTAGAATGGCAAGTGAAGGAGTGCATCATTTAGGGAGGGATAAATCTAGAACAGCTAGCCAAAAGAAATTAGCATGGCATGGATTTTAACGACTGGGACTTTTTTTATTAAATAAGGTAAGATGCCATTGTTTTTTGTAGGAATTATGTGACTTGTCCTATAAACAATCAATCTCAAATAAGGAAATATATTTACTGAAAATAAATATCACAACTAAGTCATTATTATCCCTGATAAGGGGACTAAACCAACCAAGAATAGAATCCATGATGAATGCTAATGAGCATAATAGTGTTATTCATGAATACAGGAATAAACAAGGTAACCAGGTATAGAGATGACTGTAAATCGAAACTTGAACACCTTGCAACAACTTGATTAGGATTGATAGAACTATTAACTGAATGTTGTTACTAGCCTACCCCAACTTGCTTGTGACTAGAAGACTATTATACTTGTTATTTAACATTCTGCCCAAAACTGAAAAGCACTTAAACAGTATAGTGGCAGATACACCTACATGGCTATACATCTTAGTCAAGGAAAAACATGAATGGCTAAATGATTAATCATTTAATCCTAACCAGAGTTACTCATAAGTCATAAACAACAGCACCTTTTTCATACAATGATACCTAAAATGAACCAAATATTCAAACTTACAGTTTCAGGCATTTTGACTTCTTACAACTACAACGCTTGCATGAAGTGCCATCACCATTATCAAACTTCTGCCTGGAAAATACTATTGCATTTCATGATTTTTCCAATGAAATAGTGCTATTTGACCTAAAATAATAGCCAAAGACATAGTACCTTTTCTTCTTGGGACTACCCTGACTAGAAGCTTCGGCGGTTGCAACATCAGTTGTTTGATTGAAATCATCATTTATAATGATTTGCTCAGAAGGTGCTGGAGAAGATCCAGAAGGGCCTATCAAGTTACTCAATTCATTTATAGTAGACTGAATATCTATTTTCTCTTTAGGTATTGCAGCAAGGGCATTCAAGTGCAAGCCAATACCAGGCAATGCACATGGAGGGGTTCTTAGAGGCTTTGAGTTGTCACCAGAAATAGTTTTGCATTTGGGGGTAGTTGAATTAACAGGATGATGATCTGAAGCTTTGTCTACACCTTTATTACTAACCCCAGCCTTTTCGTTGAAAAGGCTGCGCCTACGCATGCCACGTAAATGCTGTGGCAAGGCCTGAAATAGCAGAAAACATGTCCTTTCATAAGAAAAAAACATTGATAGTTCAGCCAAATTAGCACAGCCTATACAAAACTAGATTTACAGGAAAGAAAATGCTATAAAGTAAAGAGAGCTGAATATTGATGGGTGATGGCAATCTTGTTAACACGTGGACACAAGATTATGCAATTTAGAGCAACACAGTGCACAAGGCACATGAATGGAAAACTGCTAATAAACATGGGCTTGTTAAATCCATTCTCGTACATATAGTATCCAAGCTAATATTAGTTTGTATGTACAGATATATTGCACTAGTCTTCAAATTAGATCAGGCCAATTACCACTTAGTCACAAAGCATTAGTAAAGCCAATATACAAAACTTTTAAATGATAACACAAAGCATACATACATTTTGCTCAGTAGGCATGTGATCTTTTGTCTCATTGAGCTTGTTACATGGCATCAACTGACTTTGCAAAGCACCAGGTAGTGTTTGGGGAGTATAAGCTACTGCAGCCCCTTCAACTGCCCCAGTCCAGTACAGATGGGGTTCATGCACAGAATTTTGGGTGCAATATCCACTTGACTGATCATCCAAAAAGGATTCACAAGAGTAGGGATCATCAGACTTTTGTGTATCATTCACTGGTTGTGTTTCTGTTCCAGATGTTACAGCTAAAGTCAGCATATCACTACTTGATTGGTGTGTAATCATGTAATCCCCATTATATGCTGCAGGTTCATCATTGTTTTGTTCAGATAGCTGGTTTTCGTGAACAACTATCCCAGAATGTGATGAATCCATTTTGTCTAGGCCACTCTCATCAAGGTTCATACCTTCTAGGCCTGTACACTCCTGGGACATGGTAAGGTCTGTTTTACCATCAGCGCATTGATCCTTATCGCTTTCCATACTGCCAGCAGCATCCTGTATGGATTGAGTCAATTGGCCTGTAGGGTTTGATGTATGATCTGAAGAATCAATAGATGCCTCGTTTAGTTGACAAGTGATATTGCAATTCTCTGACACAATGTCTTTGCATCTGATCATTCTAAAAGAGCCTGAGGGACATATTCGAGTCCTGACACTGCTAGGTGAGTGCAATTCTTGAGGAAGCTGAACAGATTCATCCCTACCAGCATGAAATACAAACTGTAAGGCAGAGCCAAGACAGATACATAAAAGTCGACATTAGCTAGAAGGCATAAGGAAAAAGTGAAAATAACCTGATCAAAACTTTAGTTTCCTTTGCTGGATTAACATGTGGTGAGGCAAAGATCGAAGAAACAGGCGCCAAATCTGATGACTTGAATAGCTGCACATTATGTGCTGTGTCTAAAGGTTTAGGCGGTGGTATAGGAGAGAGATTGTTGATGAAATTGAAGACAGGAGAATCCTGCAAGCAGTAAAATCAAATCAAATTAGAAAAGCAAAGCCACAGGTCTTTATTTCATCACTAAATATGAAAGCGAGCTTAGGTGCCCTGATGTCAATCAATTGAGGATTGGCCAAATCCAAACCATGACCCCTTTTATAGCAAATAGAGATTGCCACAATCTTCTGTAAGAAGGAAGTCTGTAAACTGCTAAACCCAACAAAAACACATGCAGGCACAATAAGGTGGTGTTTGATTGCCCTCCTACTTTTAGTCATCTGCCCCAACCCACTTTTGGACACATGCAATTAAATATAGACTAATTACAAACTAATTGCATAGTTTATGACACATGCAGGCACAATAAGTCCATGATTAGACAATGTATGGCGCTACAGTATATCCAAATGATGGATTAATTAGCTTAAAAATTATCTGGAGTTGCATGCCGAACACTTAAATAGCATACAAATTTTATCTATTATCCAAACCCCACCTAAGACCGCTTCATGAAAATACTACTTTATCTATTGTGTGATGGCAATTAAGATAGTTAAGTGCATCTGCTGATTGGAAAGCAGTCTTGGAATGAACCCCAAGGCATACTGAAAGGCTTAGAATGATGACCTAATCAAATGTAGCATTGCTGAGACATATAATACTTGCAAAAGGAAATGAAGTGAGGGGCCTGATACTAGGACGTCCTAATTGCCGAGAAAGTCTTTCCATGACAAAGCAATGTGCATGATCAGACACTCCTATCCAAAGCTACACGCACGAGTTCATCAGCCAAATGAACAAACTACCTCAGACTCTGAAGAACTCGCATTTCCCATGGACAGAAGACCGCCAAACGTATCAAACTAGAAGGCAACACTGAGATTTGCCGATCTAAGCACTAACGTTGGAGATCCAAAAGGTCAACCTCCATTTCCAAACAATGCACACATCATAGCTTAGTCAAATCTCGTGGGAACGAGATAACAACCCAAACGGACAGACGCCGCCCCAGAACTCGCAGAATCAGCAAGGCAATTGGTCCATCTAGTGGAAATGGTTCGTTCCAGATGGTTAAGTAAGGCTAGCCCCCCAAATCCCTACCTCTCCCCCGCAGAAAAAAAAAAAAAACTGAAGAATGAAGACCTCAAATCCAAGTCCAACATCGGGAAAAGCCGCGACAGGGTGCGTCGATCAGAACCCTAATCGCCCACCCACCCACCGAAATGCGCCCTCCCAGTCCCCCCAAAACAAATCACCAAAAAGTCAAGCAAATGCAGCGCAGCAAATCGGATCGGCCGCACAGCCGCCCGCCGACCGACCAATCCAGGCACGGCCGCCTACCCAAGAACAGCCCGCTTCCCCGCGCCACTCCTACAATCCCCAGGAAAAATGGCCCCCAAACCCCACATCAGAACATGGAAATCGGTGGGAAAATAAGCATCAGCGGGGGCGCGAGCGAGATGGCGGACCTCGAACCCGGCGGGGGCGGCGGCGGCGGCGCGGGGCCTATCCGGCGTGTCCATCTGGTCCGGCGACCCCGCGGTGGGCCTCCCGCATCTGCCTCCCCCTCCCCTTCCCCTTCCCCGCCGCCTCCTCCCCCTCCCCCCTCCCTACTGACGAGTGAGGGATGATGAGCCCCCAGCACCACCAGCACTACTATACTGCTACTAGTCCTAATACTAATTTTTACTGGGCCTGATGCCTGACGAAGTGACGAGGGGTTTCGTGTTATATATACTACTGCTGCGAGTCTGCGACTGCGTCCCCCACCCCGGCGTCGGCTGCGGGTGCGGGTGCGTTTCAAGGAGGCGGCCATGGGCGGGAACCCCAGGTTTTCGGCGGTGGGGGGCGAGCTGTCATTGGGGACGGGCGCCTGGGCCATGGGCCGCCAGCGCCGCTGCCCCCGCAGCCAGCAGGCCAGTTTCCGATTGGGCCTTCCATGTGGGAACGGGTCTGCTTGTCTATTTTTCAGCCGACTGGTGCTTATTTCGACTTATTCTCCCCCACAGAAATGCTATCGAATCAGCCGAAATACCACCAGCAGAACACGACATTTGTCCCTGTTTTCCTTTTTCTTTTCTTTTTGTGTGTTGATGATTGGGTGAGTTGAGTAGGACATAAACTGAGGATTTGAGATTCACCTGGCCGATTTATTTACGAGGCCAGGCTGGAACATTTTTTTTCCCTACCTTTTGCGTAGGGTATGGAGATGCAGGGGATTCGGGGGTGGATTGAATTGGGCGCCTATATTTGGAAGAATGTTGTTGTTTGGGAGGCTGTACGTGGAAAAGGGAAACAAAGGCCCAAAAATTTGTTGGAGTGCGCTTAGCTGTGTCTTTCCATATTATGGTGACCTTTATTTCATCTTTGATCAGCATTAATTAACAGCTGCAGCCTGCAGGTGTTTACCTAATATTATGCACCAATCATTGATTGATGGCATAGTTTTTGGTAGATGGTTATGGATTTTGCGTAGCATGGAACTTGCTAGGTGTCATTATGCATTCCCCGGAAAAGGTGAACGCTAGACCTCGTGTACTCTTCCAGCTCGTTTGCATCGTGCCCGTATTCTGTTAATGGTTTGTTTGGAGTCCGATGGATACATATCCATGTATAATTTTCTAAACGAGTTGATTTGCAGCATTTGAAGAAAAAAAAAAGGGACAGAACTATCAACGATCTCGTCTCTGTCTTCCTCTCGCTTCCACTTCATCGCTCTTATTGGCCACCTTCCGTCTTCTCGATCACCATATACCCTATCGTTAACTTCATTCCACGGCCTCCAAAGTGCCACGTTCAGGGCAGCGCCCCTTCCATTGCCTTTCGCCTACCTCTTGCGATCATTTATTGGCGATTCATACTGCAACTCATCCATACGTTTGTTGCTCCTGGCTTGCCTCTCCCCTAACCACTTTAGTGAGCTATCCACACACCGATTCTTTCAATCTACTTCCTCGATTCCAAATTATAATAGGCTTTGACTTTTCTAAATATGTAACTTTTGCTATACACTTACGTTATGTATAGATACATAGTAAAAACAATATATCTTTAAAGGGCAAAACATCTTATAATTTAAAAACGAGGGAGTACTACGCTCCACAAACCATTTTGTTACCTTGTTTACCGATACCCTATCACCATTGGCTATGTTGGGCTAATGACATCCGTGGCCATCCCTCTAGGGACTAGCTAGCGCTAGAAATTGAAACCACCGCGCCTCTCCCTCTCTACCGCCCGAAATTCCTAACCATGAACCTCAATGCTAATTCTGACCCTAAATATTTCGAAATACAACGAAGGAGGTTCTCGTTCTTACTTGCGACTACATTGCAAATTTTTACGCTTCATTCCTTGGACTCCTTTCTCCATCTCAAATCATAGCAACTTTCCCTTTGGACAAGTAGCCAATTTCTAAATCCTGAAGGCTCTCTTGTTAGGATGAATCAAAAAGCTTTTCTTTTCTTTTCATTTTTCTTTCTTTTATATCTTTGAGATGAGAATCATAGTACAGGTGTAGACTCAGCCGGTAGATATTGCATTTCACTACTTAAAAAAAAGCACCGTTAAATCCTATAAAACATGTCCATAGCATGTATTTATTATGGAGACAACAACATCGTTAAATTCTAACATAAGTAAATTTAGAAAAATATGAACACTCATGTCAAGTCTATAACTTGAATTGATTTGATATGCCCACCGCAAGTAACCTAATAACCCACTAAAGCCTTGTTTGAATATCGTTCAAATTCCACACTAAACCACTTCACACACGTGGATTGATGTTGATGCATGAGTATCCTAACAAGATCTAAGCTTCTTCTCTTTTTGCAAACACCTTATTACCAACTAATAATAAGTAGGGAGCTATAAAGGAAAAAAAATTTAGTTAGCAAAATCTTGATTTCTGCCAAGTTCATGCAGAATCCTTCTATTAATCGATTTATTACTTGAGTCACCCCCCACAAGTGCTGGTGCCAATCAGTCATCCCGTCATCCGCTCCGACACGCTCGCGCAGTCGCGCTGGAGAGCAAGGGAGAGACGTCGCGGACTCGTCTTGACAGGTCACCGCCCTTATCCAGCGGGACCAACCACAACCAGCCCCACACTGACGACGCCCATGCCGCGGCCCATCTCTATTTCCCCGACCCGTGGCCGCGCCATTCCGCCTTGCTCACTACCACTGCTCTCCAAGCCTCCACCAGCCCAACCACCGCCACCGCGTGATGGCCTCCCGCCTCCTCCACCTCCACCTGCGCCGCGGGCGCGGCGGGAGCCCGCCGGGCAGCCCCGTGCCCGCGCTCCCTCTCCTCGCCGCGCGGCTCCTCTCCTCCTCCTCGCCCCCTCCAACCGCGTCCTCGGCGGGCGGCGGGGGCATCGAGAAGGTGCTGGTGGCGAACCGGGGCGAGATCGCGTGCCGGGTCATGCGCACCGCGCGCCGCCTCGGGGTCGCCACCGTCGCCGTGTACAGCGACGCCGACCGCGGCGCGCTGCACGTGCGCGCCGCCGACGAGGCCGTCAGGATCGGCCCGCCGCCCGCGCGCGAGAGTTACCTCAACGCCGGGGCAATCATCGACGCCGCCCTCCGCACCGGCGCCCAGGTTTGTTGTTCACCCGCCCCCTGCCGCTCGTCGCTGTCTCGCTCATTATTTCCCCTAGCTTGCCTGCGCCTTGAGTCGCGTGCCCTGCCGTGTCAGTCTGTCAAGGTGGGTGAGCTACTGAGCTGTCTCACTAGACATACTGAATTACTGATTGTCGGTCGTTGCTTCCCGCGCCACACAATTCCACTGTAGGCTGCCACTTCATCAGTCCTCGAGTTGTGTCGAAATAGTATTGGGTGCTAGATCACATTTTCGTGAAGATACAAAAACAGTGTCGTAGGGAAATAGTGTGAAAGTGGAAAACAGTACGAAAGTTTTAGTGTGCCACGATGCAGGCACGGATATTTATGAGACAAATTTTTTTTCTATTTGCTTTGTGCAGGCTATCCACCCAGGATACGGTTTTCTTTCAGAGAGTGCTGATTTTGCGCAGCTCTGTGAGACTCAGGGGCTCAAATTCATTGGACCGCCAGCATCTGCAATCCGAGATATGGGTGATAAGAGGTAAAATATCTTGTTGTCTAGTGTGTGCATACAGACTGTTCTGTTTGGGCTTTTGTTCAGAACAGTGCATCCTAAACACAATTTGTGTAATATAGTGCATCCAAGAGGATCATGGGTGCTGCTGGCGTGCCGCTGGTTCCAGGATACCATGGGGCTGACCAAGACATTGAGCTGTTGAAACTTGAAGCTGATAAAATCGGTTATCCTGTTTTAATCAAGCCCACCCATGGTGGAGGGGGCAAGGTATGCTGAACTGTTTCTCAGACTGTCTCACACAGGAAAAGTGCTTATTCTAATTTTCTATGCCTATAGCTTTCAAGTGTTCCAGAGAAGCCTGCTCTGTAGTTGCATGACGTATCATATGTGTGTCGTGTCTGTAACCTTTTCATCCTATATCCTTTCTTAAGGGGATGAGAATAGTCGAAAGGCCTGACGAATTTGTGGATGCTGTATTGAGCGCTCAACGGGAAGCTGCAGCATCATTTGGTGTAAACACACTATTGATTGAGAAGTACATTACTCAACCAAGACACGTAGAAGTCCAGGTAAGACTCAATTGATTTTGGACCTGCCACAGTCCTTTATAAAATTGGAAACCTGCAGTAACTCTCTGTTGTCTTCCCTGGTACTTCTTTGATGTTTGAAGGTATTTGGAGACCAACATGGGAATGCAATATACCTCTATGAGAGAGACTGCAGTCTACAAAGAAGGCATCAGAAGATTATCGAGGAAGCTCCAGCTGTAAGGATATGTTATCCAACAAAACCCTGGAACTTGCTTGAAAATATATTGAGGAAGCTCTAAGGCTTTGCTAGCTGTTTGTGCTCTGAAATACTTTGATAGAATAATCAATTCAGTTGTCTGTTTATATATTGTGCAGCCAAATGTGTCGGCTGAGTTTCGGTCTCATATTGGTGGAGCTGCTGTATCTGCAGCAAAGGTGAATGCTTCTGAACATTAGTATGTGTTTAGGAAACAAATTTGATGTTTTCAGTTCACTATTGTTGGTTAAGTTTTTCTTTTCATTATCTAGCTGCCAATTTTTTCACACCAATATGGAATGACAAATGTCCAAGTAATTTGCTTCACATGAATGTCAGTTCAAAGTTATATGTATTATCTAGTAGCTCATGTCAGTCAACTTTTTTGTTGAATAATACCTAACATTTTCATGCTGTCTGTCACAAAACAAGTGATTCTTTCTTTGTTTTCTCCGTTGATATGTTCTTTAGCAGTTATTCTGTTTAATCCTTCTATTTCATATACAGGGTCACTTATTGGATTATTTGTGTTGAAGGCAGTTGGTTACTACAATGCTGGAACAGTGGAGTTTATTGTGGATACTCTTTCTGGAGAGTTCTACTTCATGGAGATGAATACTCGACTCCAGGTAATATATCTACGATAATAATC